GTAGACATCTGCATACTAGACAACGGAAGAAAGAAAAGGAAATGGTGATTCAAACTTTCCAAATGATTGAGGGCAAGTGTGAGTCACTTCTACACAGATTTTCAAGCTACCAGGCTATTGACCTGTAGGTAAAACAGGGCCAACAGTATCTGTCCAACTTAAAAGGGTGTTCCCTGCCATAATTATTTTATAAAATGTCTCAGGACCTTGGATGAAAGGACACAAATGTTACTATTAATACCACTGAAAATGAAGTGTGCAGCTCAATGTTCTTAGATGGCAATAAGATTTCTGATTACGTTACCAGTACCTCAATTTCCACCTCATTCCTAATTCCCGCTCTGCCCCATAGATTATGGCTACTTCAAACCTTCTCACTTATTGCACCTTCCTGAACTGGTGGATGATCTTGCTTGTATACTCTACCTAGACCAAAAAACATCCTGCTTTGTCCCATGTCAAGACATATGGCTGTTTTTACTGCATCTTCCTAGCATCTTCAGCTTATTTTTGTTTGTCTCTGCATTGACAACTTAGCATTGTTTTCTAAAACAGAGCAGAAATAAAAGCCCTACAAGGAGGCAAATTGTCAAGCTGAAGCAGTAAAGGCTTTATAGCTCCCCTAACGCTTAGCATAAAGCAATAAGGAACATCTGAAAGTTAGCTGTAATGTCTAAAATTTTTAAGTGCAGACTCTTTGTACAGAAGATGCGTGTTGCTATTTCAGTCACTACAGTTCACATGCAACTGTTGGGCTGACTACTTATAAGCAAAAAATAGATCTTCTTAGTCCATGTGCTTCAGAATACTTAAGTGTTTAAAAAAAATTAACAAGAAAAAGTATGGCTGAGGGAAATTTGAGTCAAATGAACCACCAAATATTTCACATGAGCAGCAAGGTAAGTGCTGCTGGGAGCTAAGTGGTTAAACTATTCCAACAGCTGGGATAATATACCAGGTCTTTTTCCAAGTATTTGGGTACTTACTGGGCAATTCATCAATGCAATTCATAATAGCATTTACCGTGTGATCCATTTTCTAACTGACCGCCAAACCACCATCAACCCAGTGTACAGAACACCAATGAACAGCATGTGTCACAGTGGAAAAAAGGCATGTCTGAAAAGGTGACAAAACAGATACACATCAGCAGAACTGGGCTGAAAGAGGTGGAGATTTTGGGAATGTGCTCTAGCCCTTTGGGATTTAAGGTCTCTCCAACCTCTGAGAATGGGGATGGGCTTGCAATGCTCCTTACTAAAAGCCATATAGTTCAGCAACATCTCTAAAAGTATCTGGAACCCAGGAGCCAGAAAAGGGACAACACAACTGTGAAGAATAGCATTAATGAGGAGAAAAAAACAGCACAAGAAAAGAGCTCGGATACATGACAAACTTTTAATGGCCTTTTCTTTAGCTGTTTGTATTCTGCCTATGAGTTCCAGATTCCTCTAAGATGTAACAGCATCCAGCCTTCACAGCATGTTTACACTGTTTCCCAAATGACTACTGTGGCAAGAGTTCTATTAAAAAACCCCTTTTTCCTGCCTGTCATTGAAGATGTCACATTTGACTGTCTCTATATTTTATAATACATCAGCCAGGTGCTGCTCCTGCCAAAAAACCAAATCTTCCGGGTGTTCCAAATTGTAATAGCTTATACAACTACCAGGTTATTCTTTTGCTTTTAATAGTCTGAGACACTGAAAAGAAGAGAAAATTTAAGTGTTGCCCGCTAAGTACTATGTAACGACTCCAGCCACTGTACGCAATTTCATTTTATACATCCGGCTCTCTAAGGAAATAATGCTTCTCCAGCTGAGTTAAGGAGCCATTTTCACGTCCATTCCCTTTTCTGAAGCCACTAAAGGAAAATCAGAGCGATGCACTTTTTAATGACTTTGGCATAACTAAAAGAAAACTTCACTCTATAAAAGGAAGCCTGGTTTCTCTCCTTATTTGGCAGTAAAACATGTACTGATTTTGAACATGCCTTGAATACAAAGTACATTGTAATTGAGCTGTATAAGGATTTCAGTTTTAAGATGGCACATCTAATCTTTCTCTCTCCGTTGTATGATCCAAAGACTACAATGACTTAGAATTCAGTTTCCAGCTGTTTACAAAACAGACTAAAACTGTTGAAAAGCTTATTGTTTAGGAGCCATTATTCATCCACAAATTAAAATAAAAATTAGAAGCAAGGGTTATACATTGCTTTCAGTGGTATTTAAACACTGACCACCTCTATTATTAGTTCACATGTTTTGAGAAAAACACCTTGGAACAGCAAAATTATTATTGTACATGGGGTGGCAGTCAGTCTAGTCAGTCCAGTGTCCTTTCCCTTATCATGGCTTCAACTAGCCATTTTAAATAAAAAATCCTGTTCCAGTTTGTTTTGAGATAGGATGTCCCAAGGGAGTTTTTTTCCTATTGCCCAATAACTTGGAGACAGGCCTGTGTCCCAAATCCTTTCCAAAAGCTGTCATCTTTTTTTTTTTTTTAATTTTTGTTGCCAAACCTTGAGGCTGTTGCTTCTCTTCTAGACCTTGCTAAGCTCTTGGCCATACCATTCCCCCCATGGGGTATTTCTTTTCCACAGGGTTGTGATAAGGCAAAGCAAATGGCAAAATTTAAAAAGTAACTGGAAAAATCAACAGAAAAAAATAATCATCCCTTACTCTTAAATGAGCAAGTCACCAAGTTTGACTGTGGAAATTCCCCAAGCAAAGGTCACAGGAGGCTGGGAGAATACTGTAAGGAAACACCACTACCCACCTCCTCTTCTGCTTCTCTGGGGACATCGGCTGTAGGCAGCAGGACACGGGACGACAGCCTAGATGGGCCTTCGGCCTCATCTCACCTGCCCGTGCTTATACAAGGTATTTCAGCCCAGAGAATTTCCCCATTCTAACTACAGGGATAAACCTCACCAGCATGACCACAGCTTACACCTCTTGGGCATAAAATGAAAGTCAATTGGAAATTGTGTGTCAAATGGGCAGTGCACATGGTACGTTTACCCCTTTAGACAAGACTTCACATCAGATACAATTTCTCTCTCAACAGGTGGATGTAGAGCTGGAAATTCACCCGCAATACAAACAGACAGCTAACTGCTTTTTGATCAGCTTTTGACACCAATGGAATTAATTTTTACCAAATGCCAATATTACTCAGAGGCTTCCCCAGCTGCTGGCTTGAGTCCTGTTTCTATAGTTATCTGGGCTATGCAGGAGGAGGGGAGCCACTCTATCTCCCTGATAGAAATTTTGGGGAGCTGCCCAGGGATGATGTGAAAGGATCCATTCATCCAGTGGTCAGCAGTGGGAGCACTTATGAGACTCAGAGACTACACAACCACGGCAGACAGGGATGGCAAATCTGCACTCGTGTCCCACATTATGCTCCCTGATGCACAGAGGATTTATGGTAGAAATCCAGGAGAAAAAATAAAGCACAGCGACATTTTGTAACAGGCTAAAAGGTATTTAGTTGTTTATATAGTCAAAGGGAACCATTGAACTAATAAATGGGTTGTTATTCCTGTGAGAAGAGTACAAGTGGCACATTAGCTCATTTTATTATTAAATTAATACCAGATTAGTATGTTTAATTGATCTAAATTCTTCTAACCCAGCTGAGGTTGGCATGTTCGAACCAGCTTGATGCAGGCATGTCATGATTCATTAGTTATTTTCCTTAGCCAGCTCAGGGAATTTGAGAAGAATCAGGCGCACCAGAGGAGCAAAAAGGCATAAGAGACCAACTGCTTTTCCCTGGCCGTTTCTCTTCCCTTTTCTACTTCAAGGCTGCTGTCGATCACTATTGCCAGCTAGACCTGAGCCTGCCAATCACTCTGACACTCTGCATTTCCCAAACCAGAGAGACTCTCCTGTGAAAACTGTTGACTCGGATTCCAATATTATTCCTCACAGTATTATTTTTTACTACCTGCTATAGAATTTCTGCATGCACAAGATGAATGCTCATGAGGACTTCATTAAACAGGAACATAAGAGAATTGATAAATCTAGTGACACGAGCAGGAGCAGCCAAGAAGTGAGAGACCTGTGAATTATTCTACCCACCCACTGCGCTGAACATGTGACTCAGTGTGTCACATTCTCTATGTACACTATCTAAACCCAGCCTTACAGTATGCTTGACATTTTACAGAATAAAGAGATGATCTGGTGACCCAAGCAGAATAAAACAATATTTTTAGATGCAAAGCCACTGGGACTCAGCACATGGAGTTGCTGGAACTGTTGCAAGACTGCTGTTACAGTACAAAACTAGCAATAACGAGGAAAAGAGGACTACTGCAATCAGATGGGAAAGATCTTCCACCTGCACAGGTTGTTTAAACCTTTGGAAACACGGTGTTTAGTCACTGCTGCTCCCCCAAACCACAAAGCTGTTAAGTATTACTGATGCGTTGTGGGAAACAGCACATTCTTTTCTCGCCAAGACCTGTGCAAGGTGGATGAAGAGGGACAGTGATCCAAGGACTTCAAAACTGGAGCAGATCATGATAACCCTCCAGCCACCATCCTCACCCTCACTAGCATGTGCAGGCTGGTACAGGCTCCCATACCTGGCAGAGATGCTCTGCTTACCTAAGGCTTTGCTGCAGACCCCAGCTAGCGTAGGTGTTGGTCACCAGACCACACTTGGCTGGTACCGACTGGGGCAGGGAAGTGCTGTTACGTGGGGCAATTACCGCTTGCTCCCAAAACATCGATCTGTGCCAAGCCCCAAGGAGGGAACAAGCATCAGTCTGCTTAATGTCTCCCTCCCCACAAAAGCATCTTTGCAAACTGACTCTGGGGAGGAGCCATTCTGGACCAATAAAAAACTGTCCTCAGGAGAGGATTTCGTCCTCATTCACTTCTCTTACCTGGACTAGGGATTTCTTTACTCAGATAAGGCTGGAAAACCATCACTATGCAAAAGCTCTCAGTGCCATGAAACTGAGGAAAGGGCCAGCTTACCTTGCGTTGTCCCTCCCGTGTGATTTCAAGAAGTTCATATCACGATATCTGGACAGGAATGCTACTAGCTGGTCATTTGTCCTGCAACAGAAAGAACAAAAGATTCACAAATTACACTGCAAAAACTACTATGTCTAGAGTAATTTATATACTTATTGTTCTCATTCGGGGACCATCCACAGTCTCTTTGAAGGAGGCAGTTGCTGAAAAAATGTCCATCCTGCTGCTAAACTTCACTGCCTCCCCCTAATCAGGAAAGCGTACTTGGAAAGAAGCACAGCTTTATTACATCTTAACGAATTTCCTATCAACTTGTGGCAGATGTTTTAAGCATTGTAACAGAGATATACTAAGTAATATGCTCAGCACTTTTTAAGTCTGAAAATCCAGCTGTGAGATGACTGCATTGATAGTCCCATTTTACATGCTTTGCCAGACCTTTCCTAGGGAATTTGGTTAAGTATCTGTTGGCATTTTATTTGTTTTCATCCTTGTAATAGAGAACAGGCCATGGCTGGAATGCATAAAGCAAGAGAATTCGGATGTCAAAATGCCAATATAATTAATAGGAACAAAGGAACTTAGAAGGTTAATTCCAATTAGTATGACTGGCAATCTGACACCAGTATTTTCAAAATTTCAGCTGACATGTCCAAGAATGTATTTACGCTTGACAGCTTTTGTGGTCTGTTATTTCTTTAACAATGGAGCAAAAACGTTCTCTATTTATCTAGGTCAGCATATTTAGGAAAACTGAATAAATCATATTAAAAAGATATTCATCTCCCGAGTTGCATTCAAACCCACAACATCATAGATACAACACCCTTTAAGCAATGGTCTGTAATGGACTTGATGGCAGAAAACCTAAAGATAAAACAGCTGTCAATAGTACTGTATCTTGAAAACATTTCATTATTATAAGCCACAGAAAACCAAGTTAAGAGTCCTGTACAAAATTCGTTTAACTTCTGGGGTCAGGCTGCAACAACTTGGAAATGTTATCAGCCTAGTAAACTATCTTCATAATCTCATTGATTTTACCTGGACCAAATGAAATATCTGCCTATCAACCAGCCTGAACAACCAGGCTGTAGGAGCCTGAGACCCTCCTTCTATGCTCACTCATGTGAGCTGTAATACCTCCCAGGGTCAGACTCTGCATCTCAATTTGGCAACCTCAGAAAACTGCTTTCTGTAGAGTAAGCTGTGCAGATTTTCACATTTGCTGCTCCAGTGATTCTCCATCTTACTGGGATGAATAGGCATTTAGTGAATTTACTTAGCAATGCTTCCACATGAAATGGTTTCAATGGCTGACATCTTTGGGTGAGTTTCTAGGCAAAAGCTGGCATGCAAAGATGATCTTTAGAAATATAACCAAGTTTGGAAGTGCTTGAGCTTTAATTTCCTTACAGGATAAAAATCAAATTAACCAAAGTAACAATCCACACCACTCAATAAAACATCATCATTTCTAGACTGCTCACCAACCTGTATTTCGCTATTCAGCAGTGCTCTACCAAGTGTAATTGGACTTGGGGTTGCCATACTAACTTTTCGATACTTCTCACTTTTTAGATAATGCTTATAAATGCCCACATATTGTTTAGTTCTCAAAATAATTAGCAATTGACATTTTCCCACTTCTTGAAAACATTGGTGGCATCTTGGCCCAACTTTTAACATTTTTTTTAAAAAGAACTTATATAGAGTTTTACTCTTTGTCAATTAAGTATGCTTCTTTTCACGTGTTGACAACATGGAAATAAAACATCACATTTCCATTTGGTAAAACTTTCCAGTTATTTGACATTTAGATTTATGCGGTCAACCAATTCTGTGCTCAGCATGGGAGCACACTGAATTTCTATTAAGCTTTCATTCAAACTGCTTCTTCTGGCCCCAGTATCATGAGGATGCTGCACATCACCTCCAAATTATTCCACCACATGACATTAAAAAGAAAATCAAAGGTATTGAACATGCCATAGATGCTAATGCAGTTGCTAAAATCCTCCTCACCTTTCAGAAAGCTTTGCCTTCAGGGGTGTATTTCCTAAATGCCTCTGGCACAGATTGCTACCACACTTCTTCACGTACGGCTGCAGCAGAGTCTCTACACCATCGCAGTGCCTCTGGCACTCCTTCTGAGAAATACTACAGACATGGGCCTATTTTTTCTCTAAGTAAGGCAATGGAAAGCTGAGATTTTCAGCTGAAGACATCACTGGGAGCAACATCAACTCCACACTGCCAAATTAAATTCTGCTATAGCTCCACAAATTTCAGGGATAATTCACTGAGCATAAATCTGGCACAAAATCTTTCACTAACCATCACGGTATAACAGAAAGTAACGAGTGAAACATATTTCTAGTATTTCCTTCCCAAGAAGGAAATAAAAAAGTCACGGGGATAGGGAGAGTAGTTCACGCTACTGATTAAAACACACTAATATACATATTACATTCCTATCAGTTTCCCCAGTGTGCAACACAGCATGAATACAGATCGAGGAAAAAGCCTTTCCACAGTTGGTGCATGAGACTGGAGCTGATGGATGCATCCACACAGCTCCCACCTTTATTTCCTTTTGTTATTAAACTCACTCGGACGGTAAGGCACCAGGGAGAAGGATTAGTCAGCTGGTTACCTGTGCTGTTAGCAGGGAGCGAGGACGATGTAAGAATAGAGAGGCTGAGAGAAAATGTGCAGTTTTCAGGTGTGCAGCATGCAGAGAGAAATGGGAAACTAATCCTCCAGTGAACTCAAAGCGTGGAGAAAGCTTGTGCGTGTGGGAAGACTTCCATGAGAAGATGACAAGTGAAGAAGACTGATGGGCAAACAAAGCATTTTTGACTTCACTGATGTAGATTTGGTGTTAAGCAAGGGCAGGTCTGCTAGCTGGGACGGAGCGTCCATCTCCGCCAGAACTTTACTGAGGTCACCTCAAAAAGGTCCTGCTGCTTCCCTCATGCAGCAAGGGTGGATAGAGGTAGCAGGAGCCGTGCTCCATGTCTGCCTGCTGAGACGCCGCACAGCAAAACTCAGCCAAGCCTCCCACAGGGTCAGGCTCAGAGGACGGGCACTCGGCCGGGCAGGCGGGGGGGCTCTGGAGGCTGTGAGAGCAGCTCCAAGGCTGCCACTGACTCAACCCTCAGCGCTGCTCAACCTGGGGACGTGGCTGAGCCCCTGGACTGGGGCTCAGCCCGGGGTTAGGGTCAAGATTAGAGTTAGAGGTCTCAGGAAGAGAAAAGTGAGTCCTATAGCAAGAAGGGAACTTGGAAGATATTGCCAAAACAAAGCAAGGTCTGCTACCAATGTTTACTCATGAGGAACCCCTGGCCCGGGACTGAGGTGTCCCAGGGCACGACCAGGCTAACCAGGCACTCAGTAAGCACATATACGCGCTGAGCATTGCAATAATTTCAGAATATGGCATATACACCAGGGACCGAAATGGAAAACTGGAAAGAGAAACACTGACTTTCTGTTTGTATTGTCTGAACACGCTGGCAGGTCTGCCCAGGAAGCGGTATGAGTGTGTCCCTTGCACAACCATGGCTGAACACTGCGGAGAACAAAAGGCAGTGCTGGGCTTGCTGGTTTTAAGCAAACCCTCCAAGTCCTGGTGACTAAACTAAGCAAAGAGCAGAGATCCCCTTAGTTTACAGCTGTGAAAATAGATTAAGAAAGTCTTTGGAGAATCTGAGAAAAGGAAAACAAGCAATTGTTACTTTTGGAAGGTAGTGAAGGCTAATATAAATGTCCTTGATTCAGCAAGGTACTTTAACGCATGGGCGACTTGAAGGATGTAAGGAACAGCAGTCACTTCAATGGGACTATTCATATAGTCAAAAGTCACACAATTGCACAACAATTTGGCTAAGTTAGATCAAAAGTTCAGAAACTTTTGGCAGCACACAGGTACGGAAACAAGATAGTTTGATTCTGTGTAGGAATCAGATGAAGGAAAGAACAACTGCTCTGTTGGATTCTGGGTTTGGACTGCCGTTTTGGTATTGCATGGGCTGCCCCCTGCGTGGCGAGAGCCCGGTGCCCCTCTCCAGAGGGGTATTTCAGAGATGCTAGTGTTGGTCTGCCTGTCCCAGTGTAGACCCTGGGGCTTCCTCCCCACAGCCTGGACTGGGAACCTCGGGGCTGTCCAGGCACAGAGCAGGCTGCGGCTCCGCAGGCAGACAAGACCCTACTGATTAAAACAGGGAGCAGTGACAGCAAGAAAAACTTCCTGGGGACCACAGACTGCCGCAACCCAAGAAGCCACCGACTTAACTGAAACCCAGCCCAAACTCCAGAGCCCACCCACAACGATGCTGTGGCAGAGGCAGCGCTGCCAAAAATCTCTTTTGGTTTCTCTTCTGCTTCAGCAGCCGAGGTCACAGGTAGGAAGGTTCAGCTTGCCATCTGCTTCAAGTGAACTCACCAGTGAGGTCTTTAAAAAATGTCCTCATTTCAGGTAAATCCCTGGAGTGGGTTTATAAACTATTTCCTTTATCAAGGACCAGACTGTGCAATTTTGTTTCAAACTTCATGAAAAGTGCTAGGGGCTGCAGTGTATCTGCATACAAAGTATAGATCATCTCTCTGTCTCCTAGTCACTCCATTTCTGATCTATCAGAAAGGTAAGGCTAAATAAATGTTTTTAGACATCATGCCTAAACACCGTGTTTCCGCTCGGAAAGCAGCTCTCATACTGGAGAATTGTTTTGTTACTGGCTCAAGATTTGAGACAAAATCTAATGAAATCCATGGAAATCTCTCCTATGGTCTCGCTGAGCTTTAGACTTCTATAGGCAACTTCATTCTCTTCAGCCCTGCTTCATTAGCAGTGCCTAGGAAGGGATGGCTTTTACTGCACCAGCTCTTGCCAGGTCATTCTCAGCATTTCATTCACCAGGAATACCCCACATTGCCCCAACTTAAAAGTCTGTCATGAACTTATCCTGAATTACGTGCACAAGCATGGACTAGGGACAGCTGTTAAGCTGAACCCAGACTACATCCCATTTTAAATCATTATCTTCTGGCATTATTTTCTTTTCTTCTCTTTTCCTGTA